ATCCCTGAAGTAGTCGTAGGGGAACGGGTCTGGCGTCAAGAACCTCATGTCGTACTCGTCGCGTCCGCTGTAGATGTCGTAGAGGTTCTCGACCTTGGAGTAGCAAAAGTCATCTGCGGCGGCACAGACCGAGTTAATTCCCGTCTCGTAGCACTGCTTGGTACGGTCTACGCAGTTTCCAGGACCGTAAAGGTTGTTGTACCACTCAGCCTTGACTGTGTCGTTGTACGGGTCGTAGTCGTAGGTGTTGCCAGGGAAGACGGAGTAGTTGTAGTAGGCCTGGTACTGGACAAGTGGATCGAACCACCCGTTACCAATCAGCACGTTCTCGAGCTCGATCTTGTGTGCGCCGCTGATGTTCTTCGCGTTCTGGTCGAGGAAGTAGGCGTTGAACACGGGTGCATAGTGGCCGCCATAGCTCTCAGTTGTGAAGCTGAAGCCGTTGCGCGAGTACTGGGGAAATGCGCCCATGAATCCTTGTAGTGTCTTCCACATGTTTGGCGCCGCGCTCTCGGTGCTGTTGGCGGTCAGGGTGTGATCCGGCTTGGAGTATGTTCCGCAAGTTCCATAGTTCTCAGCGTAGTCTGGGCAGGTCGCGTTCGGCAGCTGAACGATCGTGCTGCCGTCGCTGTAGCCGGGGATAGGAATAGAGTACGAGAACCCGACGTCTGTTGGTTGATCGATGAACAGCATGTTGCTTGCATTCGTCCACGAGTACGGATTGTTGAACGGCTTCATGTCTGGGCCAATGCCACATGGTCCCAATTCTTGGAAGAGACCGATCATGGAGCTGGAGCCTGGGCCTCCATTGATCCACTGTTACAATGTCAATATGATTCCATGATGTTAGAAAGAAGCTCGCGGTATTTGAAATAGTATCCAAAACTCGTCTTAACTTACCACTGTCAACGGCGCATCAGTCGGGTCCTGATTGCGCGCCTCGAAAAACCACCAAAAGATATGCTGGTCTTCAGCCACATCTGCATAACCGCTGTAGCTCTTTACACTCGGGTCAAGCTCGCAGATGCCAGCAGGTACCTCCTTGTACCGTACACTGACATTCGCATAGCCCTCTTTAGTAATGAGATCCTTTGGCGCGGGCACGAATTGCGCAAGAGCACCCGCAGCCAACAAAGGCGCGGCGAGAAGCTTTCCTGTCGCGCTCTTCATCGTCGGTTCAATTGCAAGTCTTATCTTGATGGGGCGACGAGCTACTTCTGTGCGACTAGATGATTGAGTGAGTGGGAAAGAGCGAAGGTAAACAGAGAAAGAGCAGTATGACGAACACTCTCACTTTTTATTCTGGAAGCTTATGCAGGTCCGACTAGAAAGGCCCGCAGTCGTCGCGATAGCCAACTCTCACCTTCCCATGTAGGCTAAGAAGTTGCTCATCTCGGTCCCGGAGGCCGGGGTCGTGGCTATCCGCGTAGCCTGTTGCTCGTACCGGCGACGTCATGGTGTAGCTCGGTACTCGCGGTTTGCTTTTCGCGACGCGCGATGGGCAAAGGCCTATTTAGAGTATATCTTCTGGATCAGCCATCGCTAGAGCTATACGCGTTCAATGGATTGGTTCCAGGCGACCTACACATACAAAATGCGATACGGCCCATACGGGCGGACAGAGACCATGAATCTGACCGGAGCCTGTTCCCTTGTTAATTGAGTGAGACGCTACGAAAAGCTACCCCGCTATTCCGTCCAAGCGCGCATTGGCAAGAGCTTGTGCAAGCTTGCATGGCTTGATAGCGGTCATGGCGATAGTGGCAGACTATCTAATCCTATATGGGCAGGTAGGTAGCACCGATTAACCGAACATCACCGGTCAGCTTCATGTCTTCGGCGCCGCGTCAGAAGTCATTTCGGTGTAATCATTGTATAAGACGGCTTGTAATTCCATGTCAAGGAAAGGGGACATCACGCGATGGGTCGGAATCGTTGGTCAGAACATATCTCATTGGGCTCATGCCATTACAATCGTTGTGTATTGGTATCCGTCACTTCGTATGCAATCGTCAAGTCCTCCAACGCCTCTTACTCCATGTCATGCTGGGATGCAATTCGAGGTGGACGCTCATCTACAATACTGTACCGAAGCCGAAGGTCGTCTTGATACTGCGCACGTAGTACTGGTCCCAGTTGGTCTTAGTGGGCTCCTCCTGACCAACTGGTACACCCTTCCACTCGACCCTCATAACCGTCACGGCATCAACATCGTTTTGATCAAACCATATCGACAGTGTCGAGTAGTGTCCCGCAGGCCATTGCGCAAGTCGCCATTTCTGGACGATGTGTGTGGGTTCTTGGAGCTCGGTGAACTCTCCACTGACGTTTCCGCCAAAGAGCTCAAAGGTACCGCCAGGCTTCGCGCCTGTGAAGTTCCTCGGGGGTGCCCGTGTGAACGCAGCGATGCGCTGGGGGTCCGTGAAGGTCTGGTACAGGTTTGCTGCGTCGGTGCGGAACTCTGTGCTGTCGGTGATAGTGGTCACATTGACAACAGCACCAGAGCTGCTCTTTTGAGAGCCAGATGCCTCAGTCTGGGAGGTGGATTTGTTCACGCTTGAGCTCGAGTATACCTTTGGGGCCGAGAAGCCGCTACCGGGGTTCGCACCTGGCGCGTGTTGGATATCCTTTCCGTGTTCCGCCATGACCGCTGGCGCAAGCCCTGTGAAACTTGTTCGCAGTTGCGGTAGGATCTTGGATCGTACTAGGTCCTTTACGGGTTGTTTGCTCGCTTCGTCGGAGTAGACGTCTACCTCAAACTATGACGAGACATTAGTGACTGTGTACACTGGCGGGTGCGAAGAGATAAAGGACGGTGCCAGCGAAGGGAACATACGACATACTCGTCTTCCTCCGTGTCGTGAGCGACTTCCGGGACGGTAATGGTGCCGCTAGCCTCTTCGCCCTCTTTGTTCTTGCCTGCCGACTGAGTCAGCGCGACCAAGAAAGGCAGCTGAGAAAGGACATACCTGAGTATTCGAGCTTCAGCTTCACGTCGAAGATGGTGATCACTTTGCCTTTGCGTTGGCTCACGTCTACGTCTCCATCCATGCTAACAACCTTGTCGATCTTGGCTGTGACGCCATCCTGCTCAGCGGATATTTGCGTGAGCTCCTTGTCAAGATACTCGCGCGTCCATCCCGACACATCCTTGTTGACCCAATGCCAGTTGTTCGGGTTGTGGAGGACCATGGTGATGTTCGGCGGCGCACTCGATCTCGATTCAATCTCTGTCAGGAAGTTGTTAGCTTCGGCCTTTCATACTATGTAGAAAACCACGTGTAGTGAGAGATTGTCAGAGGGCGACTCGGAAGTCTAAGCAGCTGATCCGCATATAAAGAGTACAAGTCTTCTCAGACTGGTGCCAGCTTGTGTCTCATCATTCAAGGATTGGTAAAGGGTGGTGAATACTTACAAATTATAGCGCTCAAGCTGGAACAGAACTCTACAAGCGACAAATCAAGGCGCAGGTGCAGAATATTGAAGGAGTCGAGGTGTTCATGCGAATTATGTAGAGGGGAGCTCGAGGCAGAAGTTTCTGGAACTGATACCACAAAGCGCGCTATGCCCGGGCCGACCGAAGCTCCGCTCGCGTTCCTTGGCCCGAGCTCTTTGCAGCAGCGGCAGCAACGTCGATGCATGCTGCTGGTCGCGATGCTTTCACCCACTCCAAACGTCTTCACGAGAGGATGCACTCAACGGTTGCCAGGTAAATAGTTCGAGTTCAATAGGAAGCTGTCATGTTCGACATTGAAGAGACTTTCGGGGCTTCACTAGCGGACGGGATACAGGTATTGGCCGGCAATCTCGAACTCACCCATTGCAACATGGCATGCGATGTTGGCCAGGTGATTCAATCTCACTTCCTCTAGAATCGGGCCATTGGAATGTTCACCTGGACGACCGCTGAACTAATGTCTTTGCTGCCGTCTCGACGCGGCAGCATGTTGATCGCATTGAGTTTGAGACCAGGGTTTAGCGCACGGCCGGGAGAACGCGCTGGGGGTTCGCGCTGTGTTGCCATCGTCTAACGGCGAAGAAATTGATGTCATTTTCATTAGAGGATACCGAGGGTGGAGTATTTGAAACCCCTTAACCCCAAGGTAGAGAAGCGCACCTGCCTTCGTACCGTTTCGTCTCCTGCTAGTACCTGGTGTTGCTTGCAGCTAGAAAGTGCGACCGTGTATCTCGACGCGCAGAACCTTGCGACCACCTCTTTCAGGTTTCCCCTCCACACCGTTGCTTTCTTTTTCGCGGCAATCGCACGTCAGATTCTATAACACACCGGGCGCGTCCCACATTTCCTTCATCGCGACCATCTTTGCACGCACGCCAAGTACTACGCCGCCTGGGTGCATGCGCGACGCGTCTTATCAGCGACAAATCGCTTTCAACCCCTCCGGACCATCGGCGCGCACACATCATTCCTTCCGTAGCATCGCGAGCGGCACAGCAAAGGAATCTGCTGCTTTTAAAATCACACTCGCTTCCGGTATGTATTCTCATGTTCCCTTTGCTCTCTGCCATGCCGAACCGTGCGGGAAGTTTTAAAGTTCTGTCACCTGTCATTAGCCGTGCGCGAGGCTGTGCGCGCGAACGAGCGTGCCATACAGACCATGGAGCATTCCGGCCTTGGTGTCACGACAACGTCTGGGACAAATCGACCGGCAAGACATTTGAGACGACAAGACTGGTTCATGCACGATGGAAGCATTGCTCGATATCTGCAATAGGACCAACAAGTCAAACATCTACGGCAATAAACATGTATTGTCTCAGACAGCGTTTGCTCATCGCATCATGTGCCGCTGCAGCCAAAGCTTTTTCTTGCACGGATATTTACCTATATAGCATGTGCAGAGCGTGCGACATCTGTCCTCCCGCACACATTGCTAACTCCTCGTTGCAGTAATAGTAGACCTCCACAGTCGCGATCGTAACGCCTTGAACCATCTGAGATGGTGGCGTCTGTTCTCCAACCAAGCACCTCTCGGGCCAACATGGTGAACCCGAAGAAAAGACCAGGTGAGTATCACATCTTAAGGTGCTATCCAAGACCGGCCACTGTGCAGACACTGACCACTACAGCTTCCGAGCAAGCACAGCCAGCCAAGTCAAAGGCAGTACGCCCATCCGCAAAACGGCGGGTAGAACGGAGAATAGCAGGATATCAAGAATATCTTAAGGGTAATACGAAGGACTTTGTTCGTCACGATCCAGCAACGGAAACGTTGCCCGATCTACTCGCCTACGATGATGAATTTATGAAAGCCGAGAGGGCTTGCCTGGAGATTCCACAAGACTTCATCCTAGCTGTTAAGCCAGACAAGGACCCGCAACTAGCCGCAAGTCTCAGACCCAAACTCAACGAGGTGATGGACGAGTACCAAAGCGAACCCGAGCGTGTGGCAGTCGTCGGCAAGACTGGGCAGGGGAAGTCGAAATTGATAGATGCTATCTTGGGCATCGATGGGATTGCAAGATCGGTAAGCACGACCTCCCCAAAGCATCGCGTCATCTAACTTTTCTAGGGGGCAAGCGGCGTGGCAACAACTCGCATTCCAATTGTATATTCACCACGTCGAGCGCACATACAAACACCCTACGAGGTGAGACTGGAGCTTTCCGGCAAGATCGACTGTCGAGATTCAGTACAACAGCATCTTGCCAATCTTGTAGCGAACCTAAAAAGATGCGTGGAAGGGCCCATCGAGCTTGACGATCAAGGCCAAGACAGTCTACGGGCGCTTCAGAATCTGTTCAGCGACATTCCAGAATTCGTATCGAACGAATCTACTTGGACATTCCTAGGATATGATGTCAACTCGCACAAATTCTCATCAGTAGCGAAGCAAAAGGATGCGTTTGGCCAATGCGTCAAGTGGGCTGAGGACCGGCGCCAGAAGATCGCCAACATGTCCGCACAGGGTATCTACGCTACCAACGTGACGGAGCTGCGGAGAGAGCTCGCGCAATTCAGCGACGATCAAGCCAAGATGGACGACACCAAACTTGGCTTCAACCCCTCTGCGCTCGTAGAGAGGATTGAGGTCTTTGGTGACTTTCGGATTCGCTACTCAATCGGCGACTGCCCCGGACTACAGGACATCAACAAGGCAAGCTTGTTCCCTTCCCAGGTTGACATCGCTCAAGCTAACCGTGTGTTGATAGGACCGTGAAACAAAAGCGAACCGATATCTTCAGGACTGCAAAGTAGTCATAGTCGCTGAAGAAATCACGAGAGCTGGCGATAGCGCGTTTCTTGACCACTTAATTAATGACCGTACTACAAGGAGACCCGATCAACGCATCATCATCGCCTTGACAATGGGAGAGTCCAATCTGGACCCATCGGATCGCAAAGATGCATCATTCGACCAACATGAGAAAGCTGATCTCGACTGGCTAGCCGAACGTAAAGCAGAAACTCGGAGAAAGAAGGACAGCTACGCGCCAACAGACTATGCGCAAAGAGACCACTGCGCCCGCGAGATCGCTTTCATGGCCCTCGAAGAGAACGAAATATGTGCCCGAGAACGAGGTCGTCGCATCAGCGACAGGCTGAGGGAAAGATTCGCAAAGCAGAACGGAAATTTGACAGTTATGACGACTTCGGCAAAAGACTACATGGAGCATGTCGAGGGCTACCACCAGTACACCGACGAGCATCTGCCGCTGTCCGTTGAGTCCACCCAGATCCCCAGTCTATGCAGGGAACTCGCCGCTATCGCCAATGAACGGCTGCAGAAAGATCTTCTTCGCTTTTACAGGCGAACACTACCCGAGCTCTTCAGCTATATCGAGCTCGCTTGCAGCACGACTTCCGGGCCGGTGCAGACAGGGCCCAGGTTCAACTTTGAAGAATTCGCATCCAAATTGTTGAAGCCGCTCGAAGTCTTCCTCGACGTTTTCGAAAATGAACTCATCCTTCCGAGGATTAAGAGCATGAGAGAAGGAGTCGGCGATTGGAAGAACGAAGGTCACCATAACATCAACAATGTTTGGCGAAAGTTGCATGGCAACGCCGTACGGTGCTACTTGAACAAGCTAGGCAACCACCGGACAAAGGGACTGCCGAGTTGCAGTTGGAACATTACGCTTCTGGGTCCTGTCCAGAAGACGCTCGACCCGCTGTTCAAGGAGCTAATCGCAGAAGCACCCTCCAGGCTGGGTAGCCTTGCATACCAGCTAGAAGGAGTCGTGGACGACTTCCTGGAAGCCCTTCGCGTTGCCGCCGAACAGCTCGACAGCAAGAATTTCGTAGCGAACCTTGACGACAAGAAACCGCAACTCTACAACATGTATAGTGTTGTCGGCAAAGACCTCATGATATTCCTTCGGCTGTTCCGAGGACGTCTTACTGAAGACGGCAACGGTGACTTCTTTCCCCAAAAAATGAAACCGGTCTACACTGCCACATTACGGGCAAAACCGGCGGGCAAGTTGACCATGAAAGAGGTGCAGATGCAGACACTGGAAGCGCGCATATGCGGAAAGAACAGTCCGTACGACCAAATGGTCGACATGTTTGAAACCGCTTGGAAAGCCAAGAAGATAGCGTTGTTGGAGATTGGCAGACAAGCCATCGCATTTCACATAGCAGAGATCAAGGCGTCGTACAAGCAACTCAGCACTCCTGAGCCGCAGGATAATTCCATGACGCTGCTGCGCGCTGAGCTGGAGCGCAAGGTTGGCGTGGCGAGGGAACAGTGCAAGGGACCTATCCTGACTTCTCTTCTCGAATGCGGGCTTGATCCGAACTTGAAGAAAGTGAAGAAAGAGAAGAAGGTGAAGAGAGAGAAGAAGGTCGCGAAGGTCGAGAAGTAGGCAAATGGGGTGTGAAAATGGTAGTGAGATCGGGTGTATACCCAGGGTTTGCTTTCATGCGTCCGTTCAGTTCAGGTATGATACCCACGATGGGCGGTAGGCCCGCGAAAATGGAGTCTGGTTTTGTTGTGCGATAGTTTTGCGATATATGTATGTCGAAGTAATCATCTACTGCTTCTATTTTGCCTCTGCTGGTGAGGTAGACATTTGCCGAAAGGACGGCGGTCCCCCAACGTGCTTTACACATCGCCTTGACTATGTAGCATGGCATCTTCCAGATATAAGGCCATGGGTCTTCTGGGACCAGTGAGCGGGATCGCGGTCAGCGACTTCACCATGCCAGACGGGTACCTCCAAGCGCGTAGCGCCTGTCATGCAACAGAACAAGCACAACAAAGAATTATTTGTGGCGGTGTTCAATCCAAACGATCTCACGGCTGTGTTCAAATCTACCGCCTTGACATGAAGCTCGTTGTATTTCTTCTCCATAGCCACGATGTGGTCCCTTAGGCGACTGTTGGAGTCGACGTACGCATTGAAACCCACAATGCGGTCTTTTAGGTCCTTGGTCATCGCACAAACAAAGTCCATCAGGCGTTGCTATTGAGTCAGAGTGAACGCATCCGCTTCCTCACACGATGCACGCTCATAGTAAGCCTCGAACGATGCCCGGAGTGAATCGTGTTCTTTGCAGTTAGGAAACAGGATATTCGTGTACATCCCACTGACGAAGCTAGCACAAGTCAATTTGGTTTTTACCCTAATGTTGTTGGCTTCGTTCACGAACGTAGAGACAGTTGCATTGCTCTTGCGGACGTTGTCGTATGCGGCCTTGTATTTGATGTACCTAGGTAGTTGACCTCCGCAAGCTTGTTGGCTGCGTCCTTCGACTGCTCTAATGCCATGTATCTGGTATCCGCAATCTGCTTATCGGTGGTCCTCGACGTCTGTTCTGTGGTAAACTTCTCGTGGTTGACATTCGCAAGGTTGTTGGCTACGATGTAGTTGCCGTGATTGACATCCGCAAGCGCCGCGGCTGCGTCGGGCTTCTTCTTGTTGGCCTTCGCAGGTTCATCGGCTGTGTTAATAGCATTGTCATAAGATGACGATGTGGCTGTGTGCTCGGCTTGCAGCTTGTTGAAGGTAGTCATTTTGATATCGACGACAGCGTCCAGGCTTCGGATGCGAGCAGATGCCTTTTTCATGCCCATCACCAACAGGATCCGAGTATCGAGAAAGCGTTTGAAAAGAGAACGGCAGCGTGCCTCTTTGGGGCCAAGGCTGTGTTCGAGGGTCATAGAAAGGGCGACGAACAGACTCAAGAAGGCGCTCATCCCAGTCACATGAGAGCGTAGCTTGACGTTCTGTGAGAGCGTAACGCGAAGGAGCTGTGCATACCTGGTGCACTTGGCCTGGACGGCCTCCGTCTTGGCCATTTGGTCAACACAGACTTGTTCTGAAGCCTCAAGTGCGGCAGCGAGCTCTAGCACTATAGTGCAGGCCTCCTCGTGCTGTACTGCATGTCGGGGCATGTCGATAGCTGCCAAGGCGTCAGAGAAATCTCCAGAACACGGTGAAGTGCTCTCAGCTCCTACATTACCCGTAAGAACGAAACTCTGTCATGCGATGTATGGGGCAAAGCCGGTTTCTTGAAAAGCAATTCGAGCTTACCTAGGTATATAACAGCTAAGCCTGGAGGGCCTCGCGGATTCCTGGGGCGTCAGGGAAATTCTCAGAAGTCTTTGAAGTGCTCCCGGGCCTCTCGAGACCTATTAGATCAAAAATTTCCAAGGCTATGTATGCGGCAGAATCGGGTTCATGCAGAGCGATATGAGGGTATCTAGGTGTGTAACGGCTAATTCTGGAGGTTCTCACGGATTTCCAGGGCGTCAGAGAAATCCCCAGAAGGCTATGAAGTGTTCCAGGACGCACTGATACCTGGTAGAACGAAAATTCTCCTTGCGATGTATGCGGCAAAGGCTTCAGGGTTAGAGTTAGTGGCATTCTGAACGACGACAAATTGGGAGGAAGATCCTGGTTGACGATGTATGGAAATGCCGAGAAATCTATCCCACGACTCAGCCGGCTCGTCGACTGGCTTGACGGATTGGATAATGAAGAACCACGACCTCGTCGCTGGTATCCCGCCAACAATCGTATCGGCCGGCCACGATGTGGATGCACCCGCCACCCACTGGATGCTGGAGAGAAGTGGCAGGAACCCAAACCCAGGACTAGAACGTGAGAGAGATTCTCGAGGCGGTTCGCCAACATTTACAGAACCGGGCCAGCGTCTTTGAGATGCCGCCGACAAGAGACAGGAGCGATCTAGACCCTACAAGAGCTAAGAAAGAAGAAGTACGAGAGATCTTTTTTGCGTATTGTCACAAAGTTATTTTACCCCAGGCGACTACATTGGTGTCGCCATAACCTGGAACGCAGTATTCCAATGTATGTAGTTGCCAGGCTTTGCGAACAACAGCACAGAAAGCATCCCTGGTTTGACTCTAAGCGCGCTTCGACTGCAGGCCCGGTGATGGGCATTGTCGAAACTTCGAAAGAGGTATTAATGTATTGGCTGCCAATGGCACGGGACCAGGAACAATCCAGATCTTGTGCGAGCTCGTTGAGCGTTGCGGCGTCTCTCTTGAGAAACATAATGTGTAAGGCGGGTAGCTTTTCTATAATTAAGTAGGTACACTAAAGTAATAAAGCATATAGAGTACTTTTAAATAAGTAAATTTATAAGAAAATAAGCTCTCTACTTACTTATAGTAATAATTAGCTAAAAGTAAAAGTTTTAGGCGCTAAGCTTAAAGATAAGCTATAAATAAAAAAAAATTTAAATTATTAAAAAGTACTTTTATAATAGTACTATAAAACTTTATAAGCTTTTTTAAGTATAAAAAAATAACTAAAGTTATAAAGTATAGTTATAGTTTATTAATTTATTAGTAAACTAATAATTTTATAGTAAAAGCTAGTCTAAAAAAAGTAAAGTTTATTACTAGTATATAAAAAGATATATTTTAAAAAAGTTAAAATCTTATATTTAGAAGTATAGGCGTTAAGTAGACTAAGACTTAAGTCTTTAGTACTACTACTTCTAGTATAGTTAAAGCTTTTAAAATTTAAAGTAGTAAAATAACTATTTTATAAATACTAATATTTACTTATAGTAAAAAGAATTATAATATAATTATATATTTTTAATAGCTTATAACTAACTAAGCTATAAATTATAAAGTAATAAAATACTAAAATCTTAGCTTATAAAATTATACTTCTACTATATATATACTTTCTATCTCTATTTCTATTTCTATTCTTATTTTTATTTTTATTTTATAGCTTATAGTAAAATTAGAGATTTAAAGACTTATTAAAAATATAAATAGTAGCTTAAATCTAATACTAAAAGCTATACTAGTATATTAAATAAGCTCTTAACTATATTCTTACTATACTTTTTTTATAAGTTCTTTTAGTATTAGTAAGTTTAAAGCTAATCTTATTACTAGTTATATTACTTTACTTACTAAAGCTTAATTAAGCTTTTTATTATTACTATATTAATTATTTTTCTTTTAAACGTATTACTATCTTTATAAGTTTTCTTAAAGTTATTATTTTAAAAGCTATTATAAAAGCTATTATAAACTACTATATTTATACTATACTAGAGGCTATTATAAGTACTCTAAAGAGCTACTTTACTAGTACTTTAAAGCTATACGCTAGACTTATTAATATTTCTATTACTTTTATTTCTATTACTTTTATTTTTATTATCTTTACTATATATATAGTTAGTATAAAACTTTTTATTATTTTTTCTTTTATTTTTACTTTTAAAGAGCTTATTAGTAAGATATATAAGCTTTTTAGTAGTTATAGTTCTTTACTTAAAAGAAAAATAAAATAAAAAAACTATTTTATTAACTATTTTACTAAAAGAATACTTTTAATTAATTATACTATTACTATTTATAACTAAGTATATAAAGTAAAAAGTAAAGTAATACTACTTTTTTTTTTAGCTTTATAAAAAGCTATACTTTAGTAAAGAAATACTTTAGCTAAAATACTTTATAAAAGTAATAAAAGCTAGTATAGTAAAAATATAGTATTTATAAATTACTTTATATAGTAAGATACTATTTATTAAATAGTAGCTATAATAAACTACTATAATTTCTATTAAGATTTAAAGAAATAGTTATTACGTTATAGTTATTAGCTAGTTAGAGAATAAATACTATAAGATCTAGTAGTAGTTTTTAACTACTATATAAAGAGAGTATATAAATATATATAGTTATAGTTTGTATAAGTATTAGTGCTAATAGTAATATATACTAAATATCTTAAAATTTTAAAATTTTCTAGCTATTCTAAGATAGCCTAAAAGCTAGACGTTTTTTAATATCTTTTTACTAAATAAAGTTTATAAAATTAGGTATAAAGTACTAATAGTTATAGTAGTAAAAGAAAGCTTTATATATAAAATTTTACTTTAATTTTTCTTTTTTTTTCTTTTATACTATATTACTTAAAATACTAAGTAAGTACTATTAGTAATTATTATTACTACTACTTTTACTAACTTAAAAGCTATAAAATATTTTTTTTATATTTAACTACTATACTATTTTTTTTTTAGCTTTTACTATAATAAAGCTTATAAATTTTTTACTAAATATACTTAAATAACTAAGTATAAATACTTTAAAGCTATAAGCTATTAAAACTATTAAGATTTTATATATATATATAACTATACTTAATATTTAAATAGCTACTTTATAACTACTAAGTATAACTATAAAGTTTAAAATATTAATAGTAAAGCTATAGTAGTAGTAATAAAAATAAAAAGCTATATATTTATAATAAAAAAATAGTAAAGTATTTTAAAGACTATATAAGTTAGTAAATAGTTTAATACTATAATAGTAGTATACTACTTTAAGTAGTAAATAAAAAAAATAAAAAAGCTAATAGTTAAAATTAGTTAGCTTATTATTATAAATAAAAATAAAGTAGTATTTATAAAGTCTTTATTTAGTAATAAGAATATTATATAAATAGCTTTAGTATAGTATTACTTTAGTAAATACTAAAAATAGGCTATAGTAGCGTATAGCGTATAGAAGAATTACTACTAAAATAAGTATAAACATTAAATTTAATAAAATTAGAATAAGTAGTTAATTAATAAACCTAGTACTAAAGTACTAGCTAAAACGCAACTGTAGCTTTTCTATTAATTGCTTTTCCTTAGGGATATTTCTAAGGAAGAGGACTTTAAGATCGACGCTAATGCTACGACAGTATGGCTTCGCTACATCACTGAAGAGGCGCGCAAAGTGGTTAGAACGAAGGCGCTATACCCGCGAGCCTGCACCGAGTGCCCGGTTTCTAAGGTGCTATTCGCACATCTTATCGCAAAAAGATTTATCCAGACGCCTATATTAGCGCCGCGACAACCTAAAAGGCGGTAATACTAGGATGGGAGCTGCTAGGGCGTGGCCTGTAACAACACTGAGTCGGTACAGTTAGAATACAGGGCGAGGCGGCTGGCGAGCGTCAGCGAGCCCGCCGCCTCTGCTAGCCTGCCGCGCAGCGGCGCCCCCCCCAGAGAAGATTAGCATGGCCTCTGCACTAAGGATGACACGCTTAATCAAAGAGAAGCTACCTTTTTTTGCTCTTGATCTGGCGCCGCAGTAGATAGGATATCTTGGAGGGATTTGCAATGCAATATCTGTGGTTGCGAAGATAGCAAAATGTGAAGTGCAGAGGAAATGGTGTTTTGATCATTATTGTGCAGGAAGAAAGGTCGCTGGACCCTTGCGCAGCAAAAAGAGCGCAAAAAGAAGAGCAGGGCTCGACTCGAACCCGGGTCTCCATGCACCGATTTGGCGGAGGAGTCAGATCAAAGAGCAAAAAAATGGTAGCTTCTCTTTGATTGAGCGTGTCATCCTTAGTGCAGGGGCCATGCTAATCTTCTCTGTATCGTTTCAAATTGACCAAATGCCCGAAGGCGAAGGTTAGACAAATAAAACGATACATATACTGAGGCGTTTGACATTGCGCGCCGGGGCGCGTGAAAAGCTGGATTTGGGCCGGTGGCGGTCGGGAACACGAAAACTTGGAAGTGGACCACGCTCGAACCACCAAAGCACTGAGAAGGCATCCGGTGACCTGTGCGTGTCGAGAAGCTGCATAATGGCTATCATAGGCGGGCTTCGCCCGCTACGATAGCCATGACTGCTATTGCGACTATCCGTTGTCGCCATGTCACAACAGCCTATAAGACACCCAGACTATATTCACTATCTCTTTCTTTGATCAACGCAAGGTATGCAGTTCGATGTATACAGCCGGCGGTAATGACTCGTTACTATGCGGATGCATCTGCTAGCTGGGTACGTGGGTAGTTGTCTTGTTGGTAAGATCCGCACATGATTCCAGCGCGTTATAGTTGGACCTGTCTCATATGCTTCCAGTAATCTTCGACATCGCTGGATTC